AGGAAAAGCCTCACTGCTCGCGAAATTGGAGGCACAGGTCAAAGGTCAATGGGGCACAGGGCGATTTTTAGAATTTCTGTAGGACATGGTCTTGACGGAGCGATTGAAAAACTTTTTGTCTTCAGCGGTGACCTAGCAATTTTTATGACTTTACTGCAAGGACCATGAAATGATTTCTGCTGACATGCGAAGAGTAAGTGTCTGTAATAACTTTTGACCCGGTCAACGAGGAGGTTAAACATGGATTTGTTGACTTGTTAACATAGGAGTGAACTGCTTTTGCTTATTAGAGCCCCTCCCCCCACCCTCCCCCTTCCCCCTCCCGTCACCCTTCTCCCACCCTCTCCCACCCCCTCCCCTACCCTCCATCTTGCGATAGTGGGCGCTGTCCTAAACAATGAGTGTACCCAACTGCGTGTCTGATATCTGCGGCCTTAACAATGTGGGAGCTACGCACGACTGAAATTTTACGTTTATAATCTTTAGCAACAGACCTCAGATGGAGCGCAGACGTGCTGCGCTCTTGTTTTTGTATAGCGGCGATGCGGGGCGGTGGAGATTACGTGTTGTTGCGCAAAAATAGCAGTTAAACGGATTTGTGTGGAAGTAATTAGTAGGCCTAGATCAGTGTTGTAGGTCTTCAAGACTGGTTCTTGGCTCGAGAGCGGTCTCGAGATCGTTTTCCTTGTCTCGGTCTCGGTTCTCGGCCTCCAGAGTGCAAGACCTCGAACTCGGAACTCGGACTCGAGCTCTCTCGAACTCGAGGACCTCGGGGCGAGACCGCTCGAGCGCCACTACATACAATAGTAGTTATAGAATGCTGTTTGTCGCGCTTTAAATCTGCGCGTGGGCCGAGTTCACGCGCATCCATTGCGCAACCACTGGGCATGAATAATAACACAGGGTACATACATTGTTGATAAATCCGACAAAAGGTGTATGACTTACGCGTAAGTCGTTTTTTCTAAGTCGACACAAATATGCGGTCCAAAAGTGTCGACTTAGCCATGAGTTCTATGGTAATTTTTATTTTATGCAAACAAGTGACAGATCCAGGGACAGGAAACACCCCCCCATTTTTGAACAAACACATGACATAGAATGAAGGTGCCTTGTCGGTCGTGTGCCCCTTTTTTATGCAAAACATGACTCGGACTTCGGACTCGGATCGGTGGTTGTGGACTCGGGATCGCGGTGCCGGCGGACTCGGACTCGCCGACTCGCGAACTCGGGACTCGACTGGGGGGGGGATGCTGCTCGGACTCGGGACTCGGGCTCGGGGTGCGGACTCGACACAACACTGGCCTAGATAGAGAATAACGTAAACATTGAGACTTTGTAGTAAATACATTTCATGTTTATTTACCATCATTTATACATTGAAACATTCCAAGTGCTTGCTGGTTCATAGAAGAGCTGAACTCATTAATTGTCAGCTGATAGTCATTGTATCAAGCTTGGATTGTATTACAACTTGTATTATAATGGTGTCAGTTGTGTTGGCAATGCAATGATTAACTGGCAGTAATGGCTATGCGAAACGCCGAGGTGGAAGTTTATACAAAACACAGTCTTTCTGTGTTAAACATGTACATAAAATTTGCCTGTATCAAAATTCTGTGTGAGAAGTCAATGTGTATTATTGGTTTCATTGGTAAGCCTATAATAAAAACTGCTAAATTCTTAAATTTAGCCTACTGTAAGGTCCAAAATGTACTCATTGTAAAATTTGAAATTTTCTGTTTATATGTGTTTGCATATATTGCTGTAGGTGCGGCTGTCACGATTTCTTTTCCAGCATTATCGTAATCGCAAGTAGTCCTCACCTCGTAACCTCATAAAGATTAGTCTTCAATACAGAGGACTATATCAAAGATGTGAGCGAGACAAAGAATAGACAGATCAACGTGGCTGATCGCAGTAGAAAAAGCTTTTTATTTTGTCATATTTTTAATTTATCATAATTATGTCATATCTTTAATAACATTATATCCCAGCTAACAGAGTTATGTTCCTGAATGTTATGGGATAGTTTCTTTTAGGTTAGCAGAACATTATTCAGTAACGTTCTTAATAACGTGTTTTAGGAAAGTTTTCCTGACATTCTGAGAACTTTTTTGCAAACATTCACTAACATTGATAAACCTCGAAAATGACATATTAACTGCAGAAACACTAGTATGGCGGTGCAGTCTTGTCTCCAGTACGGCGCAGTACCATCACACACAACACACAAACAAGTACATAACAGTATAACTATCCTTATCACTAACCTTAACACAAATTATAAACGCGATCGAGTCGTATATGATAGCGTCTAAACACAGATAAATTCATCTATGCTGTTATATAATCTTTGGTTTCAAATAACAAACTGAACTGAACTGTTTCTGAATGACAATCAATCCAAACAACTAGTGTAGGCTAGCTAATTAATTAACTAATAATAATTAATTAATTATTACTTAGGCTGGAGATTATTTAATAGCTTACGTGACGACATTATTGTGTGAGAAAGCAATGCATGCGCAAATGGACTACGCTACCCGTAGCCCTCGAGACATTAAGATACGGCTACCGTCCCGTAGCCACTGCGAACAAAATACATTTTGATACCTGCATGTGCTATAGTTTGCATTTTGCAACACATCACAAAACGGCAATTAGGAGTTTAATTCGAACCCATCACGGGGACGGTTAACGTTTTCCGAACATTCCAAGAACATAACTCTCTCACCAAGTAAAACAATAATGCATAAGACGATTATGGGAATGTTCTTAGAATCATTTTGGCCTAATGTAACCAAACTAGAACTCCAGCGAATAGTTTACGAGGAATGTTCCGTGTTTGCTGGGATAGTAGTTTCGATTTTAAGAATTGTAACAATATTAAGAATGATATCTAGGAGTAGATAAATAGCGTACGGTGTTCTAAATTCGTGAGCGAACATATACGCTGCCAGGCAGCGTACAGAATCGCTAGTGTGTCCTAGGCTTAACTGTTGCATGTGACTTTTTATCCTTCAAAGGAGATATCGTAAGGAATGTTACCATAAACTGGAATTACATTTACATCTAAAATACAAATGAGTATATTATCATGTACTAGCTAAACGAGCAACCACTTGGCAAAGTTAATTAACAATGGGAAGGCATTATTTGTGCTATAATAGGTTTAAAACTATAGTATATAGTAGTTCAACCTGCAAGAAAAATGGCTAAAAGTAAGCATCAAATGACCTTATCACACAAAACAGCAGCTATTTCTTACAGGTGACCAGAGCAACAGTCTTATAGATAAGCTGTAATTGTTCGACTATCGCACTAACCTTCTTTCAAAAGTTCCCAGCTCTTCCACACTGACCCAACGCAGACCACCTGTAGCCCACCTGGGCTATCCAGAAGAGTCTAAAAAGCAAAGCGTTACTTTCTTAGTAACGTGCAATTTCGAATCAAAAACAATGTCAGCCTCAATTCGTAAAGCTCAGCTGCTGCACAAGAGGGTTTCTAAATCGCAAGTACGCTAAATCGATTACAATATAACGTCTTTAGCGAGATTGAAAACTCTCAGAGCCAGTGACACAACTGTGTACATATTGTGACGTGGTTACAGTTCTGTAAAACACAACGTTGGCAGAAACAACATTAACAGAATCCTTTTTTCCCATAGGAAATAGATGAAATAGACTAGCTGCATTCCTCAATCTCCATTTACCTAACATGTACATTACATACACAGCACATAAATTGTATTAAAATATATATATTATATAACCAAAATGATAAAATAAACTAAATTAATAGTAACAAGATTAATAAGGTAATAAAATCATTTTTATTGTACTCACTGACGTGTTGAGGTGGAGTAAGTAAGTGTATGGTGGT